GTGTATATATATATTTTTTCTCCCCCTCCACCTATTAAGTAAATAAATAAATGAAATGAATACCTGCTCACTGCAACTTTGGAAAGTAGAGAAAATTAGAACATTTCTTTTAATTACCTAAAATTCTGCCCCCTGGAGGCAACCATGGTTGATATTTTAGGGTAGTCTAGTCTTTTTTCCTATGCTTATGTAACTTTTTATAAGGTAAAGATCATATATGCAATGTATCCTGCTCTTTTCACTTAACTTGCTACAGTAATGTTCTCATGCTTTTTGTAAACATCCAGTTTTTAATAGCTGTAAATTATTTTATTAAACAGATATACTCAGCTCTATTTAGCTGTTCCTCTATTGTTAGAACTTAGGTTATTTTAAAAATTTCCCCTCAGTAGCACTTGTACATATGCCTTGAACAGATTTCTGAGTAATTCCTTAGGGCAGATTCCTACAAGAGGAATCACTGAATATTTATGCTCTTGCCAAATTACCTTCCAAAATACTTAAGTTAATACACTTGCCCGCTTCTTTGCACTCTTACTAACACTGGATATTACTTAACATTATTTTTGCTAGTTAGAAAGGCAAAAAAAGCGTCTAATTGTCTTAATCACAGTATGATCTGAGTTTAGATAAAATCCTCACACTGGGGGTGGGGGGAGGGGTGGGAAAGCAACTGGTTATCTGGTTGAAGGATGCCTCTTATGGCTGATGCTGACCGACGGGTCAAGGGCTCCCACTCCTTCTAGACCTGGCTGTTGTTATGACCCAGGCCTGTGTGTGGGGTGCTGTGGAGAACCCCTGCCACCCACTCCCCACATTTATGCCATATATCTTTGTTATTCCCCCCAACCAGGGGTTGACAATGGTGAAGACATCCCTCGAGACCTCCTGGTGGGTATCTACCAGCGAATCCAGGGGCGTGAACTTCGGACCAATGATGACCATGTGTCCCAAGTGCAGGCTGTGGAGCGCATGATTGTGGGCAAGAAACCAGTAAGTGATTTGTGAAGCTTCAGAGGGGACAGGGTTTGGGTCGGCCTCTGCCACCAAGTGGTAAGTCAGTGTCCCTCTCTTGAGCCCTATGCCCACCTCACTTGCTGAAGAGAGTGGGTGGAATGCGTTCCTCAGGGGTCCCGGTGCACACTGAGTGAGACCTCTATGGCAGTGCACCTAGCACACTGCAAGGTACACAGTGGGGTGCTGTATAAATCTCAGCATCCTTCCCGCCTTTTTGCCTGTCCATCCCAAACGGGGAGCCAAGCCAATTGTTGATAACCAAAGTCAAGAACATATTCTAGTCTTTTAGTCAACAAACATTTACGAATGCTTTCCACTGAGCCCAACATTTCACTGGGCACCAGGGATGCAGATATGAATCAGATGTGGTCTCTATCCTTGGGGGCTCTTACAGAGCCTGGGGGGGTGGTATTAGACAAAGACACAATACTTCTGCCTTACAGTTAGTTTAGGGGCACACAAAGGAGGGAGAGGTCATTTTCAGTCCATGGAGAGCAGGAATGGCTGCTTGGAAGAGATGACACTGGAAGAGTGGAATGTGGCCATATGGAGCTGAGCAGGAAACACATTCCAGACAGGGAGCTACCAGGACAAAGGCAAGGCAGCAGACAAGCCCAGGCCTTAGTTTCTTAGGCTCATTGTGTATGAGCGACAATGATATGTATCCGAGATAAACATCCTCTTGCAGTCAATGTTAAGGTGCCTGAAGCTGCCGTGCTGGTCTTGCTGACACCTGTTTCTTTATATATTTTTAAATGCTTTTATTGATTTGAGAGAGAGGAAGGGGGAGGAATAGAGAGATAGAAACATCGATGAGAGAGAATCATGGATCAGCTGCCTCCTGCATGCCCTCTATTAGGGATGGAGCCCACAACCCCGGGCATGTGCCCTCACCGGGAATCCAGCCATGACCTGCTGGTTCATAGGTGGATGCTCAACCACTGAGCCACACTGGCTGGGCTGACACCTATTTCTTTTTTTTAAAAATATATTTGTATTGATTTCAGAGAGGAAGAGAGAGGGAGAGAGAGATAGAAACATAAATGATGAGAGAGAATCACTGATCGGCTGCCTCCTGCGCTCTCCACACTGAGGATAGAACCTGCAACCTGGGCATGTGCCCCTGACAGGAGTCGAACCCAGTACCCTTCAGTCCACAGGACGATGCTCTATCCACTGAACCAAACCAGCTAGGGCCTGACATCTATTTCTTCATGCCTATGTAGGTACTGTCTCTTCCTCACCGTCGACTGGTTTGCTGCTGCCAGCTCTATGAGGTGCCAGATCCAAACCGCCCCCAGAGGCTAGGGTTGCATCAGCGGGAGGTCTTTCTCTTCAATGATCTCCTTGTGGTAAGAGTGCTGTGAGAGGCGATGGAGAGGAGGTGGTGAGCTGGGCCCCTGTGTGCTGTGAACCATGTTAACATTAGTGGTGGCAATATGGTAGGTGAAGTGTTCTGCCACGTGATCTGTGCGGTCTTGGACAGGTATAGGCCGCCCCTGCCCTTCCTTTACCTCCTGGATCCTTTTGGAGGTAATGACAGCCACATGGGGGCAGAAAATGTGAGGAACATTGGAGATGATAGGCTTACAGCCTGGGAAGTGGTAGGAAATGTCCTGGTCCACCTCAGTAGCCTGGAGGGTTAGGTGGGGGGAGGTGAACCTGTGACCCTGGGTTCTGTCTGGAACCTTTGGGTGGCCAGGGTGCTTATGATTTTTAAAACCAAGCTTATCACCAGTGTCCATATGCATGTTTCAGAGCTGGGACTCTGAGGAGTCTGCAGGTGGGACGGGAATTTCAGGGTCTCCTGTCCAGCCTCTCACCCACGGCAAGAACTGGCTTCCTACATGGCCCCCTGCTTGTGTGGCTTCCAGGACAGAAGGCTGCGAGAATCTGTCTCGCAATGGGTTTCCTCCAGCGATTGTCACTCAACCCTTGGGATCACAGGGAAAAGGTCTCTCTCTGCTCAGGGATTTGAGGACAGTGACTTGTCCCCCTTGATCCTCTCTCCTTCAGAGCAGGGTCTCTCAACTTTGGTGCTATTGACATTTGGGGCCAGATAATTCATTGTGGTGGGAGCTGTTCTGTGCATTGTAGGATATTTAGCAGCACTTGGTCTCTATCTACTAGATGTCTGTCGCATTTCTTCAACCAAAAATGTCTCCATTGTTAAATTTCCCCTGGGGGGGGGGCAAAGTCACTCCCTGTTGAGAGTCGCTGCTTTAGATGAAGTCCCTCCAGTGCCCTCTCTGAGCTTTAATTTTCTACTCTGTGAAATGGGGCTACTCCCTATCTCATATGGTTGTCCTAAGGATGAAATAAGAGGTCAGGTGTGGAATAGCGTAGCCCAGAGGAGTTCCTGGCCCATACAGTGGTTGAATAAATGTTTCAACATCCATCACACACTGATCCTTGTGTGTGTCCAGCCCCATGCTAGGTACTGGGTGCACAGAGATGACTGAGACTCAGTCCTTGTTCTTAGGAAGAGAGAGAGAGAGAGAGAGAGAGAGAGAGAAACATCGATTGGTTGCCTCCCATACACACTTCAATGGGATGGAACCGCAACCTAGTTATGTGCTCTGGACAGAAATCGAAATTGCAACCTTTTGGTGTGCAGGACGACACTCCAACTGACTGAGCCACCAGGCCAGAGCCAAATAATTTGCTTTTAAACACAAAGTGCAGATTGCTCTGCTTGAATCTGTGCGACGCATTCACAGCCTACGTTAGTTGAGGCCAGAGTGCCCAAGTACTTGATAAAGACCTTGGGTTGTTGAGAGGAAGATGTTAACTGTATACATTGGGTGCTGGGGCCCGTGGGTGGGTGAAATACATGAAAACCAGACTCCTCCCTCTTGGTGCTCCTGGTCCAGCAGGGGGCGATCACATACTCAGAGCGCTCCCCTCAAGCCTGATGATGGTGAAAGGCACTGAATCAGCAAGCACTCTGGGAGGTGGGGGTGGATGTGTGTGGGATGTTAGGACAGGCTTCCTGGGGGGAGTAGCATTCAGTTACTTCCTGTGAAATTGTAAACACCTGTTTGTGCGACATCATTACATCAGGAAGTTGCATTTTCTCCTGTCTCCTGTTGTGCTCCTCAAGCTTCAGTTCTCCCCAGTTTGTGGGCATGTGTGTTTGTGTGTAGATGTCTATCAGTGGCAGTGGGAGGGGAGGGGAGGTTATGAGAAACAGGTGTCATTTGGAAATCCCCCACCCCAAACCCTGCCTCTCGTCTTTTTCCCATCCCTACCAAAGGTCACCAAAATTTTCCAGAAGAAGAAGATCTTGGTGACGTACAGCTTCCGTCAGTCTTTTCCCCTCGTGGAAATGCACATGCAGCTCTTCCAGAATTCATGTGAGTCCCTCCTTGGATCCCATCATCCCAAGAGTCTATGCTATGGTCCCCGTGCTCATCCTTCATTCACTCGGACCTCCAGTTTGGGGAGTCCTTTATAACTGCGCTGAGGTCACCTACCTGGTCCTGGGATGTAGGGCCGGACAAGGTGGAGTATGACTTGGGTCTGTGCCCTGGGGAGCTCATGGTCCACAGTGTGTATGTTTTCTGGTGGGCCGAGGAGATGGTGATAATGCTGCACTTTGAAGGACTGAGCCAGAGGAACTTTGTTGGGTGGCCTTCTGGGCAGAAGAAACAATGTGGGTAGAGGTAGAGGATTAAAGGAAGGGTTCTAGAAGGCAGCTAGAGTTCAGTTTGCCCTTACATCCCAGAGTAGAGGGAGTAACATGGCCGTGACTCCCAGGAGGCTCTTGGGGACATTGGGAACCAAGGGGAGCCAGTGAAGATGCTTGAGCAGAGAAGAGGCTCAACCAGAGTTGGACATTAGAAATATTATTTTGCATATGAGCCACCTTGCTTCAGTTCTGACAGAGGGGCCCCACTTCCCCTTGCCCCACAGATTACCAGTTTGGAATCAAGTTGCTGTCTGCAGTACCTGGTGGGGAGCGGAAAGTCCTCATCATTTTCAACGCCCCCAGCCTCCAGGATAGGCTGCGCTTTACGTCTGACCTGCGCGAGTCCATCGCTGAGGTGCAGGAGATGGAGAAATACCGCGTGGAGTGTGAGTAGCCCCGCCATGTCGCCTACTTCCCATCCTGATACGGTGCCCTGTCGACACCAAGCATCCTGTCCTCTGAAAAAATCTCAGAGTTGAGGGTTAGCTTGCCCAACCTTCCTACTCTCATTCCAGGAACCCTTCAGCCTCTGCTTGAATACCTTCAGTGACTAGGGGCTCATTACCTGTCAAGCTCTGATTATTATTCCAAGCCCTAATTATGAGCAACTCTTCTTTCTAATGAAAGGCATCAGGGAGAAGAATCAGGGTATTGGAGGCAGGACGCTAGTTTCAGATCCCAGGTATGCTACTTATTATCTGGGTAAGCTGGAGCAAGTTGTTTGACTCTCTGAGTCCCAATTTCTTCCTACGTGAATTGAGATAATGAACTCTCCTTCACAGAGCAGGGGAGATTCAATGAGATAAGGCCGACGTAGTGTCCTCCATGCTAGTAGGACACAGGTGTTGAACATCCTAAGTGACCAACCAATGTTAGTCTCCTTCCCAGCCTTTCCTCTCCTGCCCCCACATGCTAGTTCCTTGGCTGATTCTAGTGTCCCATCCTCCAAGCTCCAGTGACCACACCAAATCATTTTGATTGTATATAATGGAAAATAGTGATTGCATCTCATTCTTCTCAATGCTGTCCAAGTTTTTTCTCCTCCAGACTAAGCAGTTACAGTTAAGTAACATGGTATTAAGGAGAGAGAGAAACATTGATGTAGAGAGAGAAACATTGATTCGTTGCCTCCCATACGCACCCCAACTGGGGATAGAACCCACAACCTAGGTATGTGCCTGGATCCTTGAGACCCTGGGACATTCAAGGAGAGGGATACGTGTACCAAGATGGGGTGAGGGGATAGAAGGCTTCATGACCTCCGCAGAGGGCAGGGGTATAAGGAGGCCAAAGAGCACAGGCTTTGGACTCATGCAGATCTGCTTCCAGAATGTTGGCTCCCCCGTTTCCAGCTGTATGATCCTGGGCAAGCTCTGAGACTTCTCAGACTCTCAGTTTCATCCTCTGAAACTGTGGATGATAACATTTACCTCGGAACTCTTGTGAGGATGGAGAGAGATCAGGGACATGTAGTGCCCAGCATAGTGTGGGCACATACTAGAGGGCACGATTCCTGTCCATTTCCTGCTCCTGCCCTTCTAGGAACCCTCTGCTCTGGAGCAATGTATCTGAGAACTGAGTGGACTCTGGAACGATTGCCCTTTGCCAACATCTAGAAGGGCCTTCGTGCCCCTCCTGCGAACCAGCCATTGGGAAGCTCTGTTTGGAAGGGCAGGGCTGGTTTAGGAGACCAAACTGAGAGCGGGCAGGGCCGGGGGAAAAGCAGGAAGGGCAAGAGGAGGAGGAGCAGGTGCTGAGAGGGAGGAAGGGAAGACCAAGCCAGCGGAGACAGCGCAAGACAGGACTGGAGACTGGGCGCTGCACGGGGCTTGGGAGATGTAGCTGAGGGTTGTGGGGCCGTGATAGAGGTCCAGGGGGGCAAAGCAGGAGCACATAGAGGGCTGGGGGTAGGTCAGGTGGCCTCTCACTCCTGTTGCTGACATTGGATCGCTGTCTCCCCCCTGCCACCCAGCGGAACTAGAGAAGCAGAAAGGTATGATGCGGCCTAATGCTTCACAGCCCGGCGGGGCCAAGGACTCGGTGAATGGCACGCTGGCCCGCAGCAGCCTGGAGGACACCTATGGCGCAGGCGATGGGCTCAAGCGGGGCGCACTCAGCAGTTCCCTGCGAGACCTGTCAGATGCAGGCAAGTGTCCTGGGGCCCTGCCCTGGCTGGGGAGACATGGGACCCGGAGTCCTCTTCGCCTCCTTTCACTGACCACCAGCCTTCCCTGCACCCGCCACACATGCACACCCCCTGCCTTCATCCAGGGCCCTGGGTGCTGCGCTGCAGGGGGGCCTGGGAGCCAGGTCAGAACAGGTGGAGCCCAGGGTTTGGGCCAGGGAGTGTGAAGTGGGGCCACAGTCTTAGCCCCTCTCTGCTGCTCCACCTCTCCTCCTCTCTTTCCTCTTCTATTTCTCTGGCACCACCTCTCCTCCTCCTCCATGTCTTCCTCCTTCTGCTCCTCCTTCTCCACCTCTCCTCTTCCCCACCCCACCCCTCTTCAATGGGGGAAAGGGAATAGGGGTGTCAATCCCCGGGAGGGGCCCAGGCCTGGTGCCCAGCTCAGGAGCCCAGCAGGGTGGGGAGGGGGGGTTGCTACTCTGACGCTGGGCTCCTTGCTTGTGGGTGCAGGGAAGCGGGGGCGGCGTAACAGCGTGGGATCGCTGGACAGCACCATCGAAGTAAGTGCCAGCTCCCACCCAACTCGTCCTCTGCATGAGCCCTGCCCTGCGTGCACCCCTGCACCCCGGAGGAGGAGGGGCCCTATTGCTCCCCCTTCCCTGCTGGGAACCCTGCGGCTGCCTCTCCCAGCCAAGCACTCTCTCCATCTGTCCTCAGCTCTGTCTGTCCTCACTCTGCCTGTCTCTCAGTCTGTCTCCCACACTCCCAGGCCCCCTCTCAACCCCTGGGCCGCCTCCGAGTAGTGAGGCCCTTGGAGTTGGGCCTCGAGGAGCTCCTACCTCAAGTCCTGCTCTTGGAGCCTGAGCGAGTCACTGTCTCTCCGGGTCTAATACTGTCTCCGCCTACAAAAGGGGGATGAGATGGAGGGCCGCTCACTCCCTCTCCCAGCGGAGGCTCAGAGGAGATAGTGAATGTGATGCACCTGCTGGGGGCACCGCAGGCACAAGGACAGGACTGTTATGTGATCGCTTTCCATGATGCTGCGGGGGCTTCCTGTCTCCCCAGCTCCAGCCCTCAGGGCCCAGGGGAACTTTAGGGTTGGGGATTTAGGGCATCTAGGCTGGCCTGACTCGCCCCCCTCCCCCTTCCAGGGGTCCGTTATTAGCAGTCCGCGCCCTCACCAGAGGATGCCACCTCCGCCCCCACCCCCGCCGCCAGAGGAGTACAAGAGCCAGAGGCCCGTCTCCAACTCCTCATCCTTCCTGGGCTCCCTATTTGGAAGCAAGCGGGGCAAGGGGCCCTTCCAGATGCCACCGCCGCCAACAGGCCAGGCCTCTGCCTCCTCTTCATCTGCTTCTTCCACCCACCACCACCACCACCACCATCACCATGGTCACAGCCACGGGAGCCTGGGGGTGCTGCCCGACGGGCAGTCCAAGCTCCAGGCCCTGCATGCCCACTCTTGCCAAG